AAATGCTATCTTCTTTTCGATGTTGTCAAAGGGGGAGAAGCATACGCGAGATGAAGATAGGAAGCACAAAGACAAGGGGGGCCTTTGAAAATTACAATAAATGCATCGTCGAAAGTTTTGCCATCCTAAAAAAGGGAGAGTTTGTGAGTATAACTTCAACATAAGGTGTTTTACATGATGTCAAAACTGAGAAAGATGACGCAATGATAAAATTAATTGTATATCTTTGTCTTGTGGCACTCCTCTGCATCATAGGTCTTAGGAATCATCAAAAAACACTTTGAAGTTGACCAATCTCATGGAAAAACACTTTCTGCACATTTTTGCATTGCATGTGTCGACACATTCGATTTTCAGGTCAACACGTGCAACTCAATTTTTAAGCTTGTAAGCTTCTGTAAGTCACATGTCGACACATATAGCCTTCAGGTTGACACATACTGAAAGAATTCTGAAAATTGCAGAAATTCTTATTTTATGTGTCGACACATCCATATTTCAGGTCGACACATTTACTCACGTTTTAAAGCCTGTAGCTACTTACTTGCTCAGACCGACACATAGAGTCCTTCATGTCGATACATGCAACCTTTTTATAAAGTATGTGTCGACACATACGATTTTGAGGTCGACAAATAAATTTTATTTTGGTCAAATTTTCATTTTCTTTTATTTTGAATCTGTCTTTTTTTCCCTAAACTTTTCCAAACTATAAATACCCTCTCATGCATCATTTCTAACTTGATGATACCATAAAATTAGCCTACTTTTTATCTTCATCTTCAACCTTCTAATCTATGCATATACACCAACAATACATTATGATGATGCTCCGTCGGGGTGCCATCTAGACGAAGAATTGAAGATTTCCAATTGGTTTGGGTTGAGTTCTTGTAAGGATATTTATCTGGAAAAATCATCGGGTTTGTTCTCCAACATCATTTTTTGAATTGAGGGTTTTCATGCAAGATCGTGCGAGAAGGAATCGTCCATGTGAAAAATTCCTTGTAGTGTTTGAAATCTTTTTAAGGAACCTTAGAGTGATTGAATTTTTTTTAAGAAAGTAACAAGAATTGGATGATAGAATTAGTGATCTTGTGTTGATAGTTTACAATCGAATTTACTTGAGTGAAAAATCCCTTGAAGTGTTAGAAATCTTTGCAAGAAACCTTGAGGTGTTTGAAATCCTTTTAAGGAAGTAGTTTAAGCGACGAATAGGTTGCATGTATCAATTGATTTGATCTTGCTTAAGATCAAAGGTTGAAAGAAGGAGCATCAACACCAAATTGGAGAATTTTGTATTATTATTTCTAACTCTTCCATTGTATTAAACATTTTACATATAAGAATTATCCTAGTTCCATTGAAATTAGGCGCAGACGTACCCACACGCGAGGGCGACAGTGAGGAACTGTGTAGACAAATTTCTTTTGTGTTTTTACTTTTCCGCTTTTACTTGCTTTCAATTTCGTCAATCTTTTTTATCAAATAGCATTGTGATAATAATTGATTTGCAAGAATTTTTCTCTCAAAATCTATTTTTTGAAATAGGTGTGGATATAGCTTATAATCAATTTTGATTATAAGTGATTTTGTATATCAACACTACTCAAAGAGAAATTCTTAAAATTCACTTGCACGCCAAGTGTTTGATAAAATGATCAAGTTAGTTCTTTGATTATTTAGACTTGGAAATAACATTGCAAAGTGATCGTGTTCAAACAATAAATAAATGGATTGTTGATTTGAGTTTGTATTAATCAATTACTCAATTTTATCTCATAAATTTATCTTTCATAATTTGTATATCCGAGTTTCCAATAAATTATTTTTTAGATGATTTATCCCGTTAATTTCTTCCGCATTAAAAAGTTTTGAAAACCAATTAAATTCTACATTTGTGTTTAGAAATGATTTTTACACCTCTATTAACCCCCTCTAGATACGCACCGTGGTCTAAGAAGCTGCAATTTTTTTGTCATAAAATAAGGATAGCAGCTATAGAAGATGAGAATACAAATAATGGGAAGTTGATAGATTCTAAATATATAGAAAATAACTAGAGGAGACACAAAGCATATTTTTTATGTTCAAATTCCACTAGTTCTTGGCTACGACAGCAGTGTTTGCTTAATGCTGCTTCCCAACACACCCCTCAATTTAAAACTCTGGAATCACATGAATATAGCATCTGGCAATAAGATATAATAAAACTCCAAGGGGGCATGATTGTGATGAGGGTTTTACCTTGTTGATACCACATGCATTGAGTCAGTGTCGGTCTTTTGCATCATATTGTGATTGATAATTCGATGGGTGAATATTGTTGAAAGTATGTATTATATTACGATGAATGTTATGTGTCGATTATGTACTTGAATCTTTACCTGCTCATTGTTATACTTCCTCTTATATTGTTATGATATCTCATCCTTTCTGTTTGAAAGTTACATCCACGCGGGTAATGTGCAGATGATCCGAAGTAGCTAGAGATCGAAGTTTAGCTGAGGAGTTCCTTCAGTTGCGTAGATTGAGTCGGGTCTGCTCTGATACGTAACACTTGGGCGTTTCGCGTGATTTACTTTGTTATGTTAGGAGTGAATATGTATTTCTCCGTTGTTTGAATTGTTTTATGATTATGCTGATGTTTGAAAGATAATAATTATGACTCCGGTTGGAGAATTGAGATGACTATTTATTGATGTTTTTCCGCTGCAAATAAATGTGTTAAAGTTTATGACTTATGAACATGCGATTTGTGTTGCGTATCCTAATTTTGAGCATGTGTAATTGGTGAAGTATCTGACATCCTATTTGATTGATGTTTATTTAGAAATTAATTTACTCTGATTATTATATAAATTAACGACGGGGAAATGGGGTGTTACAATTAACACTTACATAGAACATGGCAGAAGCTTCTATCTATTAAACACAGACAGAAACCAGAAATACATTTTCGGTTACGTTCAACTACAAACCGGAAATATACATTCGATTTCGCATAACCTTTTACCACAACGAAAAACAGATTAATGTATAGAATGAAAATTGAAATGATTAAACTTTACCTTAAATTCCATTTCTTTGAGCTCCTTTTGATATGATGACTCACAAAAATGAAGATTTAGAATGGAAAAATAAATTGAGAATAGAAGGATTTTTGAGAGGTTTTGTAGAAAAAAGAAGAAATGGTTGATCAAAGGTTGACAATGTTGGTTACTGTTTTAAGCATTATCAATTTTCCATAATACCGGAAGTATACTTCCGGTTATGTACGAAGTGACAAGGTGGCAGAAAAAATTAATCTTTCCGCTCTAAAAACCAGAAACATAATACCGGTACAGAATCAAAAGTATATCTCTGGTTTTGTTTTTTACAATTTGAAAGATGAAACCACATTTGACCTATTTTGTAAAATATGGTGCGAACTGAAAATGCATTTCTGATCTTCGAGGGAGCATTTTTAAAATTGCAAAGAATACTTCTTTTAAGCATGGGGTGAAATAAGAAATGTCATTGATTATTTCATTCACGTGTTCTCTGAAATATTCTCCCCTTTAGCTAAAATGCCCTTCATTTACGTGTTCCATCAACCATTGGTTATTTCACCAGTTTGATGTTATATCCTCTTGGTTTTGGGTATGACTAGAACTTAAAAAAGTTGAGGCGAGACTTGATTCTAGTTAGTGGTCAACTCCATTATCTATATCGTCAATGCCCAATTCTAACTTCTGCATATGAATTTGAAACTGCAATACTGCATCAACCTTTATGAATTCATTTGTTTCTGATTGTTGTGAATTACATTATATTCTTTTAGGACGCGCCGACTTTGATATTGCTAACCATTTTCTCTTCTTTAACACTCCTTTTGGGCCAATGATAAGCAACAACAAAGACTCTAATAAGTTAACTGTGACACTTTCTATTTCTTTTTAGATACTAAGCATTGAAAAAGGTCTCATTGTCTTGGTTTTTCGGAGAAATTAACTTTGAACTTTATGTTTCCAAAAGCTTTTGCAATTGCTTTCCTCATTTTTCTTCCTATATGCTGCAAGTATTTATCACCACCTACATCTAATAGTTCTTCAACCTTTTTCTTGTGGCAATGCTTGTTGGGTGATTTTCAGTTGGAGCAGCTTATCATTTCTCTCTTGCAAATCCTAAAGGCCATTGAGTGTTTAAGTTATTAAAGATGATGACCAAGAAGCAGTGGCTTCAGAATCCTTCAATCTTTGTAGATTTAACTCAACTAGTCCTTTTGCGTTTGCTCTACCACAATTGCAATTTTTTTTTGTCATAAAATAAGGATAGCAGCTATAGAAAATGAGAATAGAAATAATGGGTAGTTGATAGATTCTAAATATATAGAAAATAACTAGAGGAGACACAAAGCATATTTTTTATGTTCAAATTCTACTAGTTCTTGGCTACGACAGCAGTGTTTGCTTAATGCTGCTTCCCAACACACCCCTCAATTTAAAACTCAGGAATCACATGAATATAGCATCTGGCAATAAGATATAATAAAACTCCAAGGGGGCATGCATGTGATGAGAGTGCATGTACATGGAAAGTGGATCATGTGTCTGTTGGATGACAAGCAGTTCTGTTTATAAATAACTTGTTAAGATATTTTTTGATCATGTTCCTCCAACATACACAGGCCTAACAGTACCGAAGTTGTTGCTTTACACACGTGAAGATAGTCATTGTTTATGATTAAAACACATCTTTTTAGTGAAGCATTTGCATTGAAGATCTTATAATCATGCAAATGCAAGAGTATGAGTTGGGGAGATTCCTTGGAGGAGACACAACTCTAACATTTATGTAATAATGTCTGAATTCGAATCTCGATTAGTTATGTGATTAAGATGAGATTCCTTATGTCGCCTAACACCTATAATATATATTGAGAAGATGCCAATGGAAAATAACAGACTCAATTCAACATTCAAATCAAGGCTTCTCTTTCTCTTCTCTTGTGCAAAAAAATGGCAGCTTCTTCTCCTTTGAACATAAAATCCAATTTCCACGGTCGCTCAATCAGCTTGCCCTCTAGACCACACCCCGTAGTTGTTAAATGCAGTGAACATTTGGAGACCTTATTAAAGTCTTCAAATGAAACCTTCTCCTCATCGTTACTTTTCCATAAGATTGATGGTTTGCGAGATTTGATCGAGTGTGTTGAAAAATTGATTCAGCTTCCACTCACTCAAGAAGCACTTATCGATGAACAACAAGGAAATTGGGTAAATAACCTGTTGGATGGATCCTTACGGCTTTTGGATGTGTGTAGTGCAGCGAAAGATGCTGTAATTCATACAAAAGAATGCACAAGGGAACTACATTCCATCATAAGAAGAAGAGGAGGCGGAACTGAGGTGACTGCAGAGGCTAAGAAATTCTTAACATCTAGAAAGGTTGTGAAAAAGGCCATCTCCAAAGCCTTGACAAATATGAAGGTTACTACCAAACACTGCAACATGTTATCTACAAACAAAGATCATCAATCAGTGGCTTTAATTAACTTACTCCAAGATGTTGAAGTAGCTACACTTTCTACATTTCAAAGAATATTGCAATATATCTCAGGGAGCACACATTCAAAATCAAACAGTTGGGGTTCCATTTCGAAGCTAATTAAACCCACAAGAGTTGCTTGCTCTCTAGTGGCAGATGAAAGTGAATTTTCCCAAGTGGATGTAGCATTGCAATCTTTTGTAATTGCCAAGACTAGAAAACTTGAAGGCGTCAATGATCTCCAAAACCACTTGGAGAAAACTGAATGTTGCATTCAAGACTTAGAACAAGGGCTTGAGTTTCTTTTTAGGCGTCTCATTAAAATCAGAGTCTCACTTCTTAATATCCTCAACAATTAGTAGAGGATTCATGAGGATCCAAATTTTGTAGTGATATAGATACACTTGTACATGAAAACTATATGTGTAAGTAAATGCATAACAATAATAAAGCATACTTTTCTTAATTTCACGTTCCAATATCCTCTTAAACCCGATGATCATTTACTAACGGGTAGAACTATTAAATCATGACAATAGATATAGGATTTTCTTTGTTTTGGACTTGTATTGATCAATCCTATTGTGCTTTTGCTAATTAAAATTAGTTGAACGTAAGTATTGTATAAGGTGTAATAGGGCTAATATCCATGATGGAAGGACACTAAGTTACCAATTATATGTAAGAGTGGTTAGGGTTGATTCTAAAACTATATTACTGCATAGGCATAAAAAGATCCATTTGAACTTTCCCTGTCTAGTTTTTCATAGGTACTCTCATAAATAGGTTTTGTAATCAATTTCTGGTAAACAAAATTCAAATTCAAACTCAAACAAGTGTCAAACAAATGAAGGAAACTAATGAATAAAGACATAAATAATTAATACTTTGTTATAAACAGTAGATATTATAAATTTAATAATATAAATAAAAAAATTATTAATAGATCAATTTCACAATTTTTTTATAAAAATTAGAGAACTATTACTGTGTTATAGAATAGCTGATATTTAATTGTATCTTTAAAAGATTAATATATGTTGAATTTAAATTATCAAATGAAGTATTAAAAGTTTTGAGTTTTTATAAAAAATGATACTTGGTTTATCTAACAAAAACATTGAATTCAAATGTTAAATTGACACTATCTAAATGAATTGTATTACTTATGAACCTGCATTAATCACTCTAACATTCATTCCAGTTTAACTACCTTGACGCCTTTGGGATAGAACAATCCAGTTCATTTATACAATCCAGTTTAAGTATGGAATTTGAATGCATATCTAGCTAATTGGAATTTGGATTCATGTCTATACAAGCTATCTATTTAGTAACTTTGATACTTTTAGTATATTTTGAAGATAGATGCTAGATGAGAGAGAATAATAGAGAGATAGATAGAAAGTTAAAAAAAATCAAAGGTAGCTAACTAATCTTGTGGTCTGGTAGAAGAAGGAAGAAATTTGTTCGATACTATGAAGCACGAGTGTGTTATAAATCCAGGGGTTGAACATTACTCTTGCATGGTTTACCTTTTTGCCATTGCTGGATGTTTTAGAGAAGCAATGTATCTTATTGAAGATAAGCCTTTTTAGGCTGATGCAAACATGTGGTTATCCGTATTAAGAGGCTGCATATCCTTTGAAAACAAGACTATTGGAAAAGTAACTAATTAAGACTTACTTAGTACTTTGCATTCATCCCTCACCACCACCAACAGCCTCCTCCAATTATACTCCCGCCACGGCTCTCTCCAAAATGCATCTAAACTGTTCGACGAAATGCCGCAAACAAATGCTTTCTCGTGGAACACCCTCATCGAAGCCCACGTCAACTCAGGCAACAGAAACAAGTCACTGCAATTGTTTAATGCCATGACACACAAAACCCACTATTCCTGGAACCTTCTTGTTTCAACGTTTTCCAAATCTGGTGACCTTCAACTAGCTCACACCCTCTTCAACGCCATGCCTCTAAAGAACCCCCCTTGTCTGGAATTCCATCATTCACGGTTATTCTAGATACGGGCATCCCAGAAAAGCGCTTTTACTCTTTAAGGAGATGAATTTAGACCCTTTAGAAACGGTACACCGCGATGCCTTTGTGTTGTCAACCGTTTTCGGTGCATGTGCTGACTTGTTTGCTCTTGATTGTGGGAGACAAGTTCATGCTCGTGTTTTCATTGATGGTTTTGAATTCGAATTTGACAAGATTTTGTGTAGTTCGATAATTCATTTTTATGGGAAATGTGGTGATTTGGGTAATGCTGCTCGGGTTATGGGTTTTGTGAAGGAAATTGATGACTTTTCCTTATCTGCTTTGATATCAGCTTATGCAAATGCTGGTAGAATGAGAGATGCAAGAACGGTTTTTGATAACAAGGTTGGTCCTTGTTCTGTGCTGTGGAATTCAATTATTTCAGGTTATGTGTCTAATGGTGAGGAAATGGAGGCAATGGCTCTCTTCAACTCAATGTGTAGGCATGAGATTTGGGGAGACTTCTCTACTGTTGCAAATATTTTGAGTGCTGCTAGTAGCTTGCTCAATGTTGAACTTGTTAAGCAAATGCATGGCCATGCTTTTAAATTTGGGGCAACTCATGATATTGTGGTTTCTAGTGCTCTGCTTGATGCATACTCCAAGTGTCAACACTCTCGTGAAGCTTGCAAATTTTTTAGTGAGCTCAAAGCTTATGATGTAATATTGCTTAATACTATGATTACTGTGTATTGTAATTGTGGAAGAATCGAAGATGCAAAGTGGATTTTTAACACAATGCCTAGTAAAACCATGATTTCATGGAATTCAATCTTGGTTGGCCTTACCCAGAATGCATGTCCAAGTGAAGCGTTGAATACTTTTTGTAAGATGAACAAGCTGGATGTGAAAATGGACAAGTTTAGCTTTGCCAGTGTTATCAGTGCTTGTGCTAGTAAGTCATCCCTTGAACTAGGTGAGCAGGTATTTGCTAAAGCTATTACTTTGGGGCTTGAATCTGACCAAATCATTTCTACCTCACTTGTTGACTTTTATTGTAAATGTGATCTTGTTGGGATGGGACGAAAAGTTTTTGATGGAATGACAAAAACTGATGAAGTTTCGTGGAATACAATGCTGATGGGATATGCGGCAAATGGATTGTTATAAAATAATCAGACTTCTATATTGCTCTTGATAAATAAAATACACTATTGGTCTTTATATAGACCTAATGACTTTTACAATTCTAAGAATATAACTGTTACTAATAAAAATTATTATAACTTACTAACTTTTGTCCTTCCTACTACCATATTTAATATGAAACTTATTACTAATTACATTTAAAGTTTACTCAACAAAACTCCTCTGTAAACTTAAATGTTTCTTCCATCCAGCATTCCTATCATCTTCTTGCCTCTGTCGAAGATCTCTTTTGATAGTGGTTTTGTGAAAATATCCGCTGCTTGGTTTCTGCTTGCTACATGCCTTAATTCGACACTTCCCTCCTTTACATGTTCACGAATAAAATGAAATCGAACATCAATGTGTTTGCTTCATTCATGATTTACTGGATTCTTTGCCAATTCGATAGCTGATTTATTGTCCACTTGTATTATTGTTGGACTTTCCTGTTTTAGCTCCATCTTGCTTATCAACCTTCTGAGCCATACTGCATGACAGACGCACCGGGATGCTGCCACATATTCAGCTTCACACGTCGAAAGTGTTACTATAGGTTGCTTCTTCGATAGCTAAGTAAATGATGTGTTTCCCATGAAAAACACATATCCAGAGGTGCTCTTTCGATCGTCTATGTCTCCGCACCAGTCACTGTCAGAATAACCAACTAACTTGTAGTCTTCTGTTTTTGAATAAAACATTCCTAGTGATATTGTTCCTTGGATGTATCTTAGAATTCGTTTCAGCGTCTTCCAATGTGTGTGTACTGGCTCCTCCATGAATTGACTTAGCACGCCAACACTTAGTGAAATGTCTGGCTTTGTGCATGTGAGATATCGAAGGCTACCTACCAAGCTTCGATATTTGCTTCCTTCGACCCGTTCTCCTCCATCAAACTTTGACAGTTTTGTACCTGGTTCCATTGGCGTCGAAGTTAGATTGCAATTCTTCATTTTATATTTTTCTAGGATTTCTTTTGCATATTTTTCTTGTGAGATAAAGATTCCAGCTTCTTCTTGTCGAACCTCCAGACCAAGAAAGAATCTCATCAGACCTAAGTCTCATTTCGAATTCGCTTGTCATGGTGCTCTTGAAATCTTCGATCATTTGAACATCACTGCCTAGAAAGATAAGGTCATCAACATAGAGAGCAACAAGTAATAAATTACTTCCATTTTTATTCACATAGAGGGCGGGTTCATAAGGACATTGCTCAAACCCATTCTCTTTGAAATATGTGTCAATACGTGTGTTCCATGCCCTAGGTGCTTGCTTCAGCCCATACAACGATTTCTTCAGTTTCAACACCTTCTTCTCTTCTCCAATTCTCATATATCCAAGTGGTTGTTCGACATAGATTTCTTCTTCGATCACACCATTCAAAAATGTTGTCTTGACATCCATTTGAAATATTGGCCATTTGAATTGAGCAGCTTGAGAAATGAGTAATCGAATTGTCTCCATTCTTGCAACAGGCGCAAACACTTCGTCATAGTCAATTCCTGCTTTCTGTTTGTATCCCTTCGCAACCAGTCGTGCTTTGAATCTTTTGATTTCTCCTTGAGCATTCATCTTTTTCTTGAATACCCACTTTACACCAATGGGTTGACTACCTTTTGGCAATTCGACTAGCTCCCAAGTATTGTTGCGTTCGATTGCTCTAATCTCTTCGTCCATGGCACTTTTCCACTTCTTGTCTCGTAACGCTTCTTCGACACTGATGTTTTCAGCATCTGCCAGAAGACACATAAGATGCACCTCACTTGTTGAATCATACAAATCTTGCAAACTTCTCATTTTTGGTTGTAGAGGTTCATCTTCATCTTCAGTTTCTTCATGTTCTGTTGGAATACTTGTTGGTACAGCTACAGTTGTTTCTTCGACTGCGTCAATAACCTCTGTCGAATTGTTCCGGTCCCACTTGCTTGCTTCGTTCATTCGAACGTCTCTACTCACGATCACTTTCTTACTTATGGGATCGAAGAGCTTGTACCCTTTCGTCTTTTCATCATATCCAATGAATATGTACTTCTGACTTTTGTCTTCAAGCTTTGTTCTTCGTTGATCTGGTACATGTGCATAAGCTATACTACCAAATACCTTGAGATGAGAAATTGTTGGCTTCTGTCCACTCCATGCTTCTTGTGGTGTTTTATCTTCTAACTTCGAATGTGGACATCTATTCTGAATATAAACAGCACATTGTACTGCTTCTGCCCAGAATTCTTTCGACATGTTCTTGCTTTGGAGCATTGATCGAATCATGTCAAGAATAGTTCGATTCTTCCTTTCAGCCACACCATTTTGTTGAGGTGAATATGGTGCAGTTAGGAATCTCCTTACGTCTTGTTCTTCACAGTACTTCACAAAGGCCATTGAAGTATACTCATCTCCTCTGTCAGATCGAATTGCTTTGATGTGTCTGTCTGTTGCCTTCTCCACCATTACCTTGAACTTTTTGAACACTTATAATGCTTCATATTTTTCTTTCAGGAAGTAAACCCAGGTTTTTCTTGAGAAGTCATCAATAAAAGAAATGAAGTACCTTTTTCCACTGAAGGATTATGGAGTGATTGGCCCACATATGTCAGTATGTATCAATTCGAGAATATATTTAGCTTGATACTCTGCCTTCCTTTGAAATGAGGTTCTTGTTTGTTTGCTGAGCACACATTCTTCACAGAATTTTCCTTCGAAATCCATGTCTGGTAGTCCATGCACCATGTTCCTTTTCGCCAACCTTCTCAAACCAGCATGATGTAGATGACCAAAGCGCATATGCCATAGTGGCGCTTTGTCTTGCACTTCGATTTGCAGACATTTCTCTCGAATGTTCCTCAGGTTCAGTTTGTACATTCGATTTCTTTCCATTTCGACACTGGCAATCAGATGTCCTACTTTGTCCTTCAAATGCAGTGTTCGATCTTTCATAAGTATCGAAGCACCTTTTTCTGTAAGTTGTCCCAGACTTAATATGTTGATCTTGAGATCTGGTACATAGTAAACGTCTTCGATTGATCCAATCAAGCCATCCTTCTGCAAGTAACTGATTGTGCCCTTTCCTTCGACCTTCACTTTCGATGCATCTCCAAAAGACACATTACCATCTTCAATTCTCTTCATATCTTTAAATAGGTGTTTGTAACCACACATGTGATTACTTGCTCCTGAGTCAAGATACCAAACATTGTCATTATTGGTGTTGATTTCGTTTCGAGCCATCAGGAGAAAGCCTTCATTCGATTCAGCTTCCAAGGCTAGGTTGGTTGTTTCTTCAATCTTCTTTACGATTCGACAGTCTTTTGCAAGATGTCCCACTTTGTCACAGTTGTAACATTTGTAGGAGTTGCAATCCTTCGCGTAATGACCATACTTCCCACACTTGTAGCATTCGAAGTTGGAATGATTCAAACGACTACCTCTTTGACCACGTCCTCTGCCACGCCAATTTTGTTGGCTCAATTGTCCTCTTTCGAAGTTGCTACCTCTACCACTTCGACCACGGTCACGACCTCCACGTCCACGTCCTCTTCCTCTGAAGTTGTGAGAAAAGAGTACCTTTTCGTCTTTGTTCGATTCCTTGGTTTGATTTGCTTCTTCGACTGCTTCTTCTTTCTTTTTCATCTTTCGTTGTTCATGTGCTTCGAGAGAACCAGCGAGCTCTTCGACTGAGAGCGTCGAAAGGTCCTTCGACTCTTCTATTGCACACACAATATTCTCAAACTTGTCTGTTAAAGATCTTAAGATCTTTTCAACAACTCGTGCATCAGTTACTGTCTCTCCATTTCTGGTGAGTTGATTCACCACCTTTTGAACACGTGTAATGTAGTCAGATACAATTTCTGTATCCTTCATTTGTATCCTCTCCAATTCGCCACGAAGAGTTTGGAGTCGAACTTGCTTCACTCGATCTGCTCCTTTGAACACTTTTTCTAACGTGTCCCACGCTTGTTTCGACGTAGTCGAACCAGCAATTTTTTTGAAGCCTGATTCATCTAAAGCCCTGAACAACATGTATAATGCCGTTTTGTACTTCGATCGCGTCTCTTTCAACGCCTTCGTTTGAGCTTTCCTATATCCCCCAACTTCTGTTGATTCTACAAACCCATCATGTGTCACATCCCACGCGTCTAGAGATCCAATAAGAGCTTTCATTTGGATACTTCAGTTTTCATTATTTGACTTCGTTAGCCGTGGCAACGACATTTGATTCATCATATTTGCCATGAGCTCTGATGCTAAATTGTTATAAAATAATCAGACTTCTATATTGCTCTTGATAAATAAAATACACTCTTGGTCTTTATATAGACCTAATAACTTTTACAATTCTAAGAATATAACTGCTACTAATAAAAACTATTATAACTTACTAACTTTTGTCCTTCCTACTACCATATTTAATATGAAACTTATTACTAATTACATTTAAAGTTTACTCAACATGGATATGGGATAGAAGCACTAACCTTTTTTAATGAAATGAGGTTTAATGTTGTGAGACCTTCTGCTATTACTTTTATTGGGGTTCTTTCTGCTTGTGATCAATGTGCTCTGGTAGAAGAAGGAAGGAATTTGTTCCATACGATGAAGCACGAGTATGCTATAAATCCAGGGATTGAACATTACTCTTGCATGGTTGACCTTTTTGCCAGAGCTAGTTGTTTTGGGGAAACAATGTATCTTATTGAAGAGATGCCTTTTCAGGCTGATGCAAACATGTGGTTATCAGTATTAAGAGGTTGCATATCCTATGGAAACAAGACTATTGGGAAAATGGCAGCAGAGAAAATTATTCAGCTTGATCCTGAAAATTCATGTGCTTATATACAATTATCTAACATACTTGCAACTTCTGAGGACTGGGAAGGATCAGCAAAAGTAAGAGAGTTAATGAGAGATAAAAGTGTTCAGAAGATTCCTGGTTGCAGTTGGGCAGATTGTTGAATGAGAAACTCTTCAGTTCCAGACAACGATTAATGAAAGTGAGGAGGATAACACTGCAGTGAAATATGCTTGGAACTACCATTAGACTTCCATGTTTTTTGTACAATTCTCAGCACCAACTGACCAGTTTAAACTGACTCGAGACAGTTTCTTGCAAACAATAAATGTCAATGCTCTAACAGAAAGCTAAAGCTAAAAACACAAGATTTTACTCAAAACACATGCAATGCCTCGAGTGTCGAACAATATTATTTATCATAGGTGACTAAATTCTAAGCAATATAAAAAATAATGTTATGCTGTCTACTCCAAGTCTGAAGTCTAGTGCTTGTATAAAGATCAATCCCAAGATTGGTATTGTGTGGTGTAGTTATTTATTGACAGGAATGTGCTTTGAGGTTTAGAAATCTAGCTGATTTGAATTTGAATGCATGTCACCATCCTTTTCACCGTCCTTGTGAATGATTGTTGTCCACAAATCTCCCCAAATGTTACAAAACCTCTAGATGGAGTTAAATCACATTTCCTAAGCTTTGATGCAACAAAGATAATCCTTTGATGTAGACGAGTTCGCTACAATTTGGGGTTTCGCTGAGAATAAAACAAAAAATGCATAGAAATACCATAGGTTGCAAGTGGATTTTCAAGGTCAACGAAAATGAGTTTGGTGTTTCCATCTTGCATGTTTGTGAAGAATATGCTTTCACGAAGGTTTCACTCTCTTTCTGTCCACTCCTTATATTTTTTCATCTAGCTATATTCTTGAGTTGTTATATTTTTGTTGGACTTTCGTCTGACATGTCCTTTGCTTGAGCAGGCTTTAGAAACATGTGGCTTTCCCGTTCCAAATGCTTTGGAACATAATCGACATTGTGTAATCATGTCACTCGTCCAAGGTTATCCTCTGTAAGTGCCCTTCTTTCATTTTGTTTCAACCATTAAATTTGTATAGGATCACATTCGCCTATACACATTCGTATTATATTTATCTCTTGATTTCCTGAACGAGATTAGTCAACTCTGATGGCGTTGGATATTGTAGTTGTATAATTGCCAAGTAATCTTAAGAGAGTTTATTTGTTTTGTGACCGTCAGAATTGTATAGCATTTGATACCAGGATTTTACATCTTGTTCCAGGATATGCTTGAGATTCGACCATTTGATACTTGCTTTTACATCTTGTTCATGTAGAATATCTAGAATTGCTTAAGCAAGTTAGTTGTTTAATGACACTATCGTAGTCCTAAAAGCATTAGATGCACGGGCTTTAGTTGCAAAATTGCATGTAGTCGCTAGTGCTTTATATTGTAGTAGTACACAATCTCAGAAAATTGTGGTTATGGTTTGATGTAAAAAGATTAACCACTGAGCCTCACTCAACTCTCAATCTTAGTTAAATAAAACTAATCATGATAACTACTAGACTTCTAATCTTAATTAAATTTTGAAATATATTATAAAATCTAAAGAAACATGCCGAAGAGAATACTAGATATTTTAAATTACTCCAAGGATAGAGTTCAAATATTATGAGGTGTTTTCGTATATTTTAGTTTTACAATCTTTTGTTCTTAAGCTAGCTTTTCGGTTTGGACTTTAAAGATTGTACCACTCCCCTGTTGAATAAACTTTAATGTGTTAGTAATAAGTTTTACATCAAATATGGTAGTAGGAAGGACAAAAGTTTAGTAAGTTATGATAGTTTATTAGTAGCAGTTATGTTTTTAGAATTGTAAAAGCCATTGGGTCTATATAAAGACCAAGAGTGTATTTTATTTTAATATGAGCAATACAAAAGTATTCATATAGAAGTCTGATTACTTGATAACAATTTGGCATCAGAGCTCATGGAAAACATGATGAATCAAATGCCGTTGCCACGGCTAACGAAGTCAAATTATGAAAACTAGAGTATCCAAATGAAAGCTCTTCTTGGATCTCTAGATGCGTGGGATGTGACCCATGATGGGTTTGTAGAACCAACAGAAGTTGGGGGATATACGACAGCTCAAACGAAGGCGTTGAAAGAGACGCGATCGAAGGACAAAACGGCATTATACATGTTGTTTAGGGCTGTAGATGAATCAGGCTTCGAAAAAATTGTCGGTTCGACTACGTCGAAACAAGCGTGGGACACGTTAGAAAAAGTGTTCAAAGGAGCAGATCGAGTGAAGCAAGTTCGACTCCAAACTCTTCGTGGCGAATTGGAGAGAATACAGATGAAGGATACATAAATTCTATCTGACTACATCACACGTGTGCAAAAGGTGGTGAATCAACTCACCAGAAATGGAGAGACGGTACCTGATGCACGAGTTGTTGAAAAGAACTTGAGATCTTTAACAGACAAGTTTGAGAATATTGTGTGTGCAATAGAAGAGTCGATGGACCTTTCGACGCTCTCAGTCGAAGAGCTCGCTGGTTCTCTCGAAGCACATGAACAACGAAAGATGAAAAAGAAAGAAGAAGCAGTCGAAGAAGCAAACCAAACCAAGGAATCGAACAAAGACGAAAAGGTACTCTTTTCGAACAACTTTCGAGGAAGAGGACGTGGACGTGGAGGTCGTGATAGTGGTCGAAGTGGTAGAGGTAGCAACTTCGAAAGGGGACAATCGAGCCAACAAAATTGGCGTGGCAGAGGACGTGGTCAAAGAGGTGGTCGTTCGAATCATTCCAACTTCGAATGCTACAAGTGTGGGAAGTATGGTCATTATGCGAAGGATTACAACTCCTACAAATGTTACAACTGTGACAAAGTGGGACATCTTGCAAAAGACTGTCGAATCGAAAAGAAGATTGAAGAAGCAACCAACCTAGCCTTGGAAGCTGAATCGAATGAAGGCTTTCTCCTGATGGTTCAAAACGAAATCAACACCAATAATGACAATGTTTGGTATCTTGACTCAGGAGCAAGTAATCGCATGTGTGGTTACAAACACCTGTTTAAAGATATGAAGAGAATTGAAGATGGTAATGTGTCTTTTGGAGATGCGTCGAAAGTGAAGGCCGAAGGAAAGGGCACAATCGGTTACTTGCAGAAGGATGACTTGATTGGATCAATCGAAGACGTTACCTATGTACCAGATCTCAAGACCAACATATTAAGTCTGGGACAACTTACAGAAAAAGGTGCTTCGATACTTATGAAAGATCGAACACTACATTTGAAGGACAAAGTAGGACATCTGATTGCCAGTGTCGAAATGGAAAGAAATCGAATGTACAAACTGAACCTGAGGAACATTCGAGAGAAATGTCTGCAAATCGAAGTGCAAGACAAAGCGTCACTGTGGCATATGCGCTTTGGTCATCTACATAATGCTGGTTTGAAAAGGTTGGCGAAAAGGAACATGGTGCATGGACTACCAGACATGGATTTCGAAGGAAAATTCTGTGAAGAATGTGTGCTCAGCAAACAAACAAGAACCTCATTTCAAAGGAAGGCAGAGTATCAAGCTAAACATATTCTCGAATTGATACATACTGACATATGTGGGCCAATCACTCCAGAATCCTTCGGTGGAAAAAGGTACTTCATTTCTTTTATTGATGACTTCTCAAGAAAAACCTGGGTTTACTTCCTGAAAGAAAAATCTGAAGCATTAGAAGTGTTCAAAAAGTTCAAAGTAATGATGGAGAAGGCAACAGACAGACACATCAAAGCAATTCGATCTGACAGAGGAGGTGAGTATACTTCAATGGCCTTTGTGAAGTACTGTGAAGAATAGGGCATAAGGAGATTCCTATCTGCACCATATTCACCTCAACAAAATGGTGTGGCTGAAAGGAAGAATCGAACTATTCTTGACATGACTTGATCAATGCTCAAAAGCAAGAACATATCGAAAAAATTCTAGGAAGAAGCAGTACAATGTGCTGTTTATATTCAGAATAGATGTCCACATTCGAAGTTAGAAGACAAAACACCACAAGAAGCATGGAGTGGACATAAGCCAACAATTTCTCATCTCAAGGTATTTGGTAGTATAGCTTATGCACATGTACCAGATCAACGAAGAACAAAGCTTGAAGACAAAAGTCAAAAGTACATATTCATTGGATATGATGAGAAGACGGAAGGGTACAAGCTCTTCAATCCCATAAGCAAGAAAGTGATTGTGAGTAAAGACGTTCGAATGGACGAAGCAAGCAAGTGGGACTGGAACAATTCGACAGAGGCTGTTGACACAGTCGAAGAAACAACTGTAGCTGTGCCAACTAGTATTCCAACAGAACATGAAGAAATTGAAGATGAAGATGAACCTCTACAACAAAAAATGAGAAGTTTGCAAGATTTGTATGATTCAACAAGTGAGGTGCATCTTGTGTGTCTTCTGGCAGATGCTGAAAATATCAGTGTCGAAGAAGCGTTACAAGATAAGAAGTGGAAAAGTGCCATGGACGAAGAAATTAGAGCAATCGAACGCAACAATACTTGGGAGCTAGTCGAATTGCCAAAAGGTAGTCAATCCATTGGTGTAAAGTGGGTATTCAAGAAAAAGATGAATGCTCAAGGAGAAATCAAAAGATTCAAAGCACGACTGGTTGCGAAGGGATACAAACAGAAAGCAGGAATTGACTATGACAAAGTGTTTGCGCCTGTTGCAAGAATGGAGACAATTCGATTACTCATTTCTCAAGCTGCTCAATTCAAATGGCCAATATTTCAAATGGATGTCAAGACAACATTTTTGAATGGTGTGATCGAAGAAGAAATCTATGTCGAACAACCACTTGGATATATGAGAATTGGAGAAGAGAAGAAGGTGTTGAAACTGAAGAAAACGCTGTATGGGCTGAAGCAAGCACCTAGGGCATGGAACACACGTATTGACACATATTTCAAGGAGAATGGGTTCGAGCAATGTCCTTATGAACCCGCCCTCTATGTGAAAAAAAATGGAAGTAATTTATTACTTGTTGCTCTCTATGTTGATGATCTTATCTTTCTAGGCAGTGATGTTCAGATGATCGGAGATTTCAAGAGCACCATGACAAGCGAATTTGAAATGACAGACTTAGGTCTGATGAGATGCTTTCTTGGTCTGGAGGTTCGACAAGAAGAAGCTGGAATCTTTATCTCACAAGAAAAATATGCAAAAGAAATCCTAGAAAAATATAAAATGAAGAATTGCAATCCAACTTCTACGCCAATGGAACCAGGTACAAAACTGTCAAAGTTTGATGGAGGAGAACGAGTCGAAGGAAGCAAATATCGAAGCTTGGTAGGTAGCCTTCGATATCTCACATGCACAAGGCCAGACATTTCACTAAATGTTGGCATAGTGAGTCGATTCATGGAGGAGCCAGTACACACACATTGGAAGGCGCTGAAACGAATTCTAAGATACATCCAAGGAACAGTATCACTAGGAATGTTTTATTCAAAAATAGAAGACTATAAGTTAGTTGGTTATTCTGATAGTGACTGGTGCGGAGACATAGACGATCGAAAGAGCACCTCTGGATATGTGTTTTTCATGGGAAACACGACATTTACTTGGCTGTCGAAGAAGCAACCTATAGTAACACTTTCGACGTGTGAAGCTGAATATGTGGCAGCATCCTGGTGCGTCTGTCATGCAGTATGGCTCAGAAGGTTGATAAGCAAGATGGAGCTAAAACAGGAAGGTCCAACAATAATACAAGTGGACAATAAATCAGCTATCGAATTGGCAAAGAATCCAGTGAATCATGAACGAAGCAAACACATTGATGTTCGATTTCATTTCATTCGTGAGCATGTGAAGCAGGGAAGTGTCGAATTGAGGCATGTAGCAAGCAAAAACCAAGCAGCGGATATTTTCACAAAACCACTATCAAAAGAGATCTTCGACAGAGGCAAGAAGATGATAGGAATGCTGGATGGAAGAAACATTTAAGTTTACAGAGGTGTTTTGTTGAATAAACTTTAATGTGTTAGTAATAAGTTTTACATCAAATATGGTAGTAGGAAGGACAAAAGTTTAGTAAGTTATGATAGTTTATTAGTAGCAATTATGTTTTTAGAATTATAAAAGTCATTGGGTCTATATAAAGACCAAGAGTGTATTTTATTTTAATATGAGCAATATAGAAGTATTCATATAGAAGTCTGATTACTTGATAACATCCCCCCTCGACATATTTTACACTGGTTTTGGTATTCAATTGTCTGAATTTGTATGCTTGTTTCTGCAAATGCAGGTTTCAGGTGAAGCAATTACAAAATCCATACACCGTTTTTGAGACAATTATTCGGCTGGCAGAGAATGGTATCATTCATTGTGATTTCAATGAATTTAACATAATGGTATGCTTGAATAACTTATGCTGACTTGTCAGTGTTATCGTTAAATAGAATGCTAACTATTTTTTCATTGCATATCAGTAATAAGCTTTCCGTCCATAGTTTATAAAAAATCAAGAATCTTTCATTAATATAGTAGTTTGTTTACTCAAATACTTTTAGCAAATACTTTTCTTCCTATATGCTGCAAGTATTTATCACCTACATCTAATAGTTCTTCAACCTTTTTCTTGTGGCAATGCTTGTTGGGTGATTTTCAGTTGGAGCAGCTTATCATTTCTCTCTTGCAAATCCTAAAGGCCATTGAGTGTTTAAGTTATTAAAGATGATGACCAAGAAGCAGTGGCTTCAGAATCCTTCAATCTTTGTAGATTTAACTCAACTAGTCCTTTTGCGTTTGCTCTACCACAATTGCAATTTTTTTTGGTCATAAAATAAGGATAGCAGCTATAGAAAATGAGAATACAAATAATGGGTAGTTGATAGATTCTAAATATATAGAAAATAACTAGAGGAGACACAAAGCATATTTTTTATGTTCAAATTCCACTAGTTCTTGGCTACGACAGCAGTGTTTGCTTAATGCTGCTTCCCAACACACCCCTCAATTTAAAACTCTGGAATCACATGAATATAGCATCTGCCAATAAGATATAATAAAACTCCAAGGGGGCATGCATGTGATGAGAGTGCATGTACATGGAAAGTGGATCATGTGTCTGTTGGATCACAAGCAGTTCTGTTTATAAATAACTTGTTAAGATATTTTTTGATCATGTTCCTCCAACATACACAGGCCTAACAGTACCGAAGTTGTTGCCTTACACACGTGAAGATAGTCATTGTTTATGATTAAAACACATCTTTTTAGTGAAGCATTTGCATTGAAGATCTTATAATCATGCAAATGCAAGAGTATGAGTTGGGAAGATTCCTTGGAGGAGACACAACTCTAACATTTATGTAATAATGTCTGAATTCGAATCTCGATTAGTTATGTGATTAAGATGAGATTCCTTATGTCGCCTAACACCTATAATATATATTGAGAAGATGCCAATGGAAAATAACAGACTCAATTCAACATTCAAATCAAGGCTTCTCTTTCTCTTCTCTTGTGCAAAAAAATGGCAGCTTCTTCTCTTTTAAACATAAAATCCAATTTCCACGGTCGCTCAATCAGCTTGCCCTCTAGACCACACCCCGTATTTCTTAAATGCAGTGAACATTTGGAGACTTTATTAAAGTCTTCAAATGAAACCTTCTCCTCATCGTTACTTTTCCATAAGATTGATGGTTTGCGAGATTTGATCGAGTGTGTTGAAAAATTGATTCAGCTTCCACTCACTCAAGAAGCACTTATCGATGAACAACAAGGAAATTGGGTAAATAACCTGTTGGATGGATCCTTAAGGCTTTTGGATGTGTGTAGTGCAGCGAAAGATGCTGTAATTCATACAAAAGAATGCACAAGGGAACTTCATTCCATCATAAGAAGAAGAGGAGGCGGAACTGAGGTCACTGCAGAGGCTAAGAAATTCTTGACATCTAGAAAGGTTGTGAAAAAGGCCATCTCCAAAGCCTTGACAAATATGAAGGTTACTACCAAACACTGCAACATGTCATCTACAAACAAAGATCATCAATCAGTGGCTTTAATTAACTTACTCCAAGATGTTGAAGTAGCTACACTTTCTACATTTCAAAGAATATTGCAATATATCTCAGGGACCACACATTCAAAATCAAACAGTTGGGGTTCCATTTCGAAGCTAATTCAACCCACAAGAGTTGCTTGCTCTCTAGTGGCAGATGAAAGTGAATTTTCCCAAGTGGATGTAGCATTGCAATCTTTTGTAATTACCAAGACTAGAAAACTTGAAGGCGTCAATGATCTCCAAAACCACTTGGAGAAAACTGAATGTTGCATTCAAGACTTAGAACAAGGGCTTGAGTTTCTTTTTAGGCGTCTCATTAAAATCAGAGTCTCACTTCTAAATATCCTCAACAATTAGTAGAGGATTCATGAGGATCAAAATTTTGTAGTGATATAGATACACTTGTACATGGAAATTATATGTGTAAATGTATATATCAATAATAAAGCATACTTTTCTTAATTTCACGTTCCAATATCCTCTTAAACCCGATGATCATTTACTAATTTGAAGAACTATTAAATCATGACAATAACTTTTAAGATTTTCTTTGTTTTGGACTTGTAAACAAATTCAAATTCAAACAAGTATAAAAAAAAATCAAGGAAACTAATGAATAAATATAATTATAGTTCAAAATTCTAGTTAGTGAAGCCTCCACAATCATACCAAATTCACAAAGTAGGGCTTTAAGAAGCAAATAACAGCATCTTACCAGATAAATGTCGTAGCCAGACGGTGTTGAGTTGACGGCGGCCATGAAATTGAGGTCAAGCACATCACGTGATACTATGGTGGTAATTTAATTAAGGATTAACTACAATTTTGATATTTATTCTATTTGATTTTTGTCGTCTCTCATACTTTTATATTTGAAATTAACAATAAGGTTATAAAATTAAATATAAGTTAAAAAGTTGAAGAATCAAAATTATAATTTAACCTTTAATTAATATAATTACACCAAAAAATTAATTAAAAAACATTTTAAAGAAAAATAATATATTTAATTTTTTTCTCTCTTAATTATTCTTTTTTTTTTACATAAATAACTAATAATTCACTATAAACATTATATATTATAAATTTATTAAGTTTATTTAAAATTTGACTTAATTATAGTCTCACTATTATTTTTTATTTTTTTATACTTTTAATCCTATTTAAAAATCTCAACCTTTTAGTCTCACTATTAAATTTTTACGGGATATTTTGGTCCTCTCCCTTTTGTGCATCTTAAAAGGTTTAAGTGACTCTAAGTATATGGTGTCACGTCATTTAATAAAATTATTCTATTTAATAAATATTATTATAAATAATGTATTTAACGTTGGATGTGAAATATGTTTTACTTCGATATCTTAAGTGAGATAAATAAAGTTGTCATGAAAAGTAATGACTTATCACTTTGGTGTTTAAAACACCGAGGGATATTTTAATAGCGCGTGAGTTCGATCCATATCGTCTGTATTTTTTTTACTTACAATAATAGCGCCTCACGTATATCAGTTTATCAATAAAACTGATGGATAAATTATTAGTATTTTTTAATTTAAACTGGTTACATTGTTTACACAGAAAATTAATAAAATAATTTATTTATAAAATATAATATTTATCCAGAATATTAAACTGATTACATTTTTTATATAGAATATCAATACAAAATTTAAGTTGTCCATAAAGATTATACGTTGGATCTTTAAATCTTTGATATTTTGAAAAGATCAAATGCAGGAAAACAATATATTCTCAATTGCTTTTCCTTGCATTTATTTTTTATATTAAAAAAAAGGTTAGATAAATAAAGAGTTAGATGAAAAAAGGGTTAGATAAATAAAGGGCTAGATGAGAAAAAGAGTTAGGTATATAAATATTTAAGAACACAAACCTTAAACACAAATAATTTTCTACTCTTACAATCCATCATAGAGAATACTTCATAACAAAGACTCTTGCATATCTTAAAGTGGAAGATAGTTTCAAGCGCTTCATGATGTTTTTGATATTCAAAATGCTTTTATAATGGAAGTTAACATAGGTTTCACGCGGATCACTAATGGTAGTGTATTGAATGTTGATAGTCATGAAAATGGACGACAAGGATTTAATTAAGGGCGGTACAAATATCGTCAACTTTAACGCTAACATATCCCCTCGATTTTGAGAAAAAACGAGGTGAAAATAATTTTTTTTAGTTACATTGTTTACAAAGAATATCAGAAAAACAATATTACAACAAATTTCCACTACTACTTTAGGGTTACTGAATTTAACAAAATCATAGCCTTTATTCATCCCAGATCTGCAAATTAATAATAAACCACACAACATCAACAATCATCTTTTTTTTTAACATATGAACACTGAATGTTCTAGAGAAGGAATTTGGTAGCGTACCTGAAATCTATCGGCAAGTAGACAAAATCATAGGAGAAAGTGTTTTCAACAACAGATCTTTGGTCGAATCCAAATTTTGTTGCAGACCTTTATGCTGCATATCCAAAAAAATACTCCATAACTTATCTGTTGTACCCCAAAATTTGCCCTCCCATTTCCTCAACATTTTCTCATCACAAGACCTTTGAAGATCAAGATCCAGTTAGGGTTTCCTCTGCTCAAGACTTCTCCTTGCACTGTGGACTCAAATTAGGGTTTGTGTTTGCCCAAGGATGTTTTGACCTAGAATGCCTAAGATGACTTTCATGTTTCATATTGGACTCCCAAGTTTATCCTCACCAAGTTTCCAGTCTTGAGTCCAAGTTTTGCCCAGTCAATTGGACAGATGACCTAGAAATCAGCTGTATTGGGGAAAAAGTCAACTGTGGCCAATTGACAGTCAAACCTCATGAAATTTGACCCACATCAACATATTGAACTCATATGGACCATTTGATCAAGTTTGGATCACAATTCCATAAGAAATTTGATCAGATCACCAAAAGGGCAAAATGGTCATTTTTAGGGTTTTGACTGCACAAAGGCAATTTTTGACTGTTTGACCTAGCCAATGGCAAATCAAGCTCACATATGGACTCAAGGACTCAATGAAATGGTCTTGACACATTCATCAAGCTCAAAAGATCCCAAGTACACAAGGTTGACAGTTGAATTTCCCAGTCAATTGATCAATTTTGACTGTATACTGAAAAGTCAAACTTTGACTTTTTGGTCAAAATCAAGAGTCAAGATTCATTTTTCATCAAAACATGCCAAATCATGAAACTTGTTCACCAAGAAATCACAAAATGCAAATTAGGGTTAGAAAATGGAATTTTTCATAACTTAGAATTTTTCCAAGTTATGAAAAACCCTAATTTTTTCCCAACTTTGCCCCATCTTTTCACCAAGATCCACTTGGATTCAAAC